TGAATAATGACTAATTTATATATGATAGAATAATGACTAAACTCAAAAAAAATTTAGGGTTTAACTTAACAAAATAATACATTTTGAAGGGCTTAAAACAACTCGAATATCCAGATAATTTTTTTTAAAACAATATGTAATATATTAAATATTAATCAATCTTTTAAGTTTTAGTTCATCTTATATTGAAATACCATATATTTAAGTATATTTTTATAGGTATTTTTAAGAAAAATAAGAATGTTAATATTCTTATAGTCTTAATCTACAAAATATCTTTAAATAATGTCTAATTTGTATTTTAATCATGATTTTTAAAATTTATGTTTAAAAAATCGGGTCTTCTACATTTTTTATTTTTCAAAGTATCCCATAAAGTATATTTTATATTTTTTTGATAATAATAAGAATATTTTAAAATTAAAAAATAAAAAATGATTAAAAATGGAAAAGTTGACAATTTTAATATTCAATTCAATCTGAATAAGCTTGAATCCAAAATATCAAGATCAAGCATATATAGCTGTATAAGCTTTTCTATATCTCATTTAACATTAGCTAAAGACCTAAAAAAGTTAGGAAAAATAATATGTTTCTGTATCGAAATTTGAGTATAGTATAGATCCTATCATTATTTGAATTCAGATTTCAGAACATAATTAATGGTCAAATTACCAATAACTCATCATAAAAACAAACTTTGCCAATCTTTAAATGTTGTAGATGAGATTGTTTGTTTGAAGAAATATTAGCTTTTACTTCTAGAATCGAGTCATTTATTGAAATACCAGCTTTTAATAAAGCAATTTAGCTGTTTGGATCAAAAGTTCCCCTCATCCTCTTTTGCTAAACCTTGTTTTATTGACAACATGATTTCAATTATGTGCGAAAGTTATACACACACACACTCTTATATATATCTTTGGAAAATATTTTTTTTTCTCTTATCATCATTAAGGATGTTGGATTAGTCAAGTTGATTAGTGTTAATTATATGGCTAGCGGTGATCCTAAAATTTATACAAAGGTTATCAAATTATTCCCTTCAGTGCCTGTTATAGGGCACCTTTGAGAAAGGTTCTTTAATTTAGTCTTTAATATGAGATAATTTGTGGGATATTAATTACATTTTTTCAATATTTATTTTTTCAAATTTGGAATTTATCCATTTAAACAAGGGTAAAATTGAAAATTTATTTTTTTTTATACAAAGTTAATGATTTAATCATTTTTTCTTGTTTGTGATAAGATAGTTATAGGTGCCTTATAATAGACCAAAATGAATATGTTAGGGGTGGGGAGGTTGAATCTTATTTAAAAAGGGAGGTTAATATAGGTTTCACCTTATATGTTACATCATAAAGTATTTTGAAATTATTCTTTTTAATTCTATTTATAAGTTATTTTCAAATATTTTCATTGGCATCAAAAAAAATTTGAAGTTTCATTAACTCTGTTTAAAATTCAACAAGTTTTTAATTTTACTTTCATTAAATATACATACTTTAAAAATATATTATAACATCTAATAACTTTTCAACATTGAATATGAGCAAAATGATAAATAAGAATATAATAATTTTTAAAATGTCTCATAGAATATGATCAAAATAAATATTTTTTTTTATCTATAAATAGGATCAAGGAGTAGTATGATCCTTGAATTGAAGGATTTACTCTTTATAATTTTTATCATAATAATCATCCACATTCCACGTCTGTGTTTATTTTCTTCTCTTTATGCAAGTGATCTTATATGCGTTAACAATTGAAATCCCAAGTATTATTCCTTAACAAGATTCAAAAGTCCAGTATTGTTGAAATAGAAGAATTTTTTTTGCTTACATTCTACTATAATAAAATGAACAAAACGCACATTCAAAATAAAAGGAGGTATTTAATTATACAATAAAAATTCAAGAAAATGGAAAATTAAATTTATGAAAAATTGCATAATTATTTCTCAAATAAAATCAAGCATAACCATTTATACAACCACAAATATATTAAATTTTCTGAAATTATATTTTTACTTTTTGGTGGAAAAATTGTTCTGGCTTTAGATCATCCATAATCCATTATATACATCATCCCTGCGAAAACAAATTGTTGAATGGAATTGACATGCAATAGAAACAAACAAAAAATATTCTCTCATTCACAATATTATAAGTATTAAAGGAGGAGACTATATAAAAGCAACTGATTTGAATGGTACACATTTATTTTGGCAAGCTGTCTCCCACAAAACATTAAAAGACACACACACATAATAGGAATGGTCTTGTCACAACGGATTCCGATTTATATATGTAAAAATATTCATGTTGAATATATTTTAAGTAATAATTTAAATTTCATTTGCTTATTAAGACTAAAAGTTACGTTGAATATATTTAAGTATTTTCAATTAATTAATTGAATAAATTTCATTTGAAAGTAAAATCATAATCTCCTTTTTGCCATCATTAAAAATATCATACAAAGTATTTTGATTTTAAGTTGTACTCTGGGGAAATCACTTGATAAATCAATATTTATATTATTTTTAACATAAAAACTTGTTTTTCATTCCATCGCCTAGTGTTAAGGGAAGCTTGAAGATATTATCAACACCTACTCAAATTAATATCAATCCCCATTATATAAGACTGTTATTTTTTATTTTAGAACTCAAATTTAAAATCTCAAATAAGTTGATTTAGTTCCTTCAAACAGTTGAAAAGAAGGAAAAGAAAAGGGAAGAATGGAAGATGACGAAGATAAAAGTACAAATAATAACAATAACAACAATAATATAGACGGCCTGAGGAATTTGTAATTTAAAAAATTCAAGGCCAAGTAAAAAAAAACAAAAAAGTAACAGATAAAAAATATTAGAGATAAAAGAAACTTCATATGTAAAAATTAAAAATAAATCATGAATATATAAAATTTAGAATATATTTAAACAAATAATTTAAATTATTTTAATGAAGTAGACTATCATTAGTCATACTTAGCAAGTTAATATAAAGAATATAATAATAACCAAATTGTGATAAAAATTTAAAAGTGAAAAAATAATTAACAATATTATTTATATATGAGGTTGTGCTTACTGAGTGTGATTTCCTTTACATACACACGACAATGATTTTGATTTATAAATTTCGTAAGAGGTCATTTTCCAAGACACCGAATATAAATGAGTACTTTAAAATTATTTTAAAGTATTTAAAATCATTTCCGACGACACTAAAGAATAAAGATGGTAACTTTAAGTCAGCAATGCAACAAAATAACGCAAATACATTGAGATGCAAAACGGCAGTCAAGTTCTCTACGTCAAAATTTGATATTACCACAACGCGATAAAAAAAAAAATTAAGCATCTTAATTTGAAATCTCTAACTTTTTTGGAAAAATTTTGAAAAATAAAAACTTATATACTTAATCTATATATTTAAAATACCTATTTTTAATTAAATTAAGATATTTAAATTTTGTTTATAAATTATTTATTTTATAACAAACTCTTGTCACTAATATTATTACCTTATTAAAATTTTCTTGTCTTGATTTCATTAAATAAAGATATATGAATATATAGTGCTAATTATCTAAGCCTTACTCTTTTGAAAATTTTAACAGTGACTACAAATCTGAAAAAAAATAAAAGTTAGTTTAAAATGAATAACAGTGACTACTCATTTATTATTATTATTATTATTATTATTATTATTTAAAACTATTTTTCTTGATACTAAGTAAAAATGATACAACACAGTTTTTTGAATTATTATGCATCTACAAATTTGAGTAATAATATTACTTTTCACCCCAAAATATATTGTACTTTGAAGCTAATGTATATTGAATAAGGTGGGTCATGCTTTTAATCCATAATAAAATTAATTTTTATTTAATCATTTTTTATCACGTCTCCCGAGTTTTGCATTGACCTGGAATGACCTGCCGTTTGATCAACAACTTAGACTATAGCTTGAGGAATTAATTCAGAGAGCGTGTGATTGAAGACTGAAGTCAGACGCCAGGTTTTGATACACTTGACCTTGCTAGGTTGCAAACATCCCTATTCAGAGAAAAGATAAAAGAAATAAATTTAAATAAAGAGTGTGTAATACATTCTATATTTTTTTTATTGAAGGTAATTGGAATAAAAAAAATGTGCATTACGCTCTAAATTATTTTTTATTATTATGATATTATTAATTATTCTATGTATACTTCTCTCTAATTTTTTGGGCTATTCTTTAATATTTTCTTAAAATTATATCCGGCAGTGATTACTTTTTCATAAAAATGCTCTTAGTTTCTTCACATTAATCAATTAGGTGAAAAGAGATATGAGAAAGGATCCAATAATTTTAGGAAGAATAATGTGAAGTCCTTTACAATAATTCCATTCCAATTATCATAAAGTCCCAAAAATGCACAAATTGTTATCAAGTTTTAAATCCCTTATTGTAAATAATTTTTTGTGCAGTTACAATGATACTCCTATTATTTGAACTAAAATATAATTTTTAACCCAAATCTAACTATTTAGATTAAAATATAATTTTATTCCTAACCCAACTCATACTTCAAGAAGAGAGGTGGTCACTTTTTGGTTATAAAAAGAAAAGCAAGCCACACATATGAGAGGACCTATCCAACCCTTTCAATAATACTTTAACCAATTCAATAATGATTAATTAAATTTTAAATTTTTACACTTAATTAAATTTTGTTGTTTACTTTTATCATGTAATTTTTTTATTTTTTCATATTTATTTCTTTATTTTTTAAAAAATATAATTTTAAATTTTTATATTTTATTCGAGTTTTATTATAAGTTTTTATATATTTTTTAATATTTTAAATCTCTATAATATAATTCATAGAGAAACTTAAATATTAAAAAAAATACAAGAATTTATATATTACTTGAATAAAGTGTAAGTCTATAAAATATATTTTTTTGTTTTTTCACTTGGGGTAAAATAATTAAGTCGATGCTTCATAGTAGCAGGTGGGATGGATCATGGAATATCCCTTTACCAGGGAAAGGCCATGGATCATTGGGAAGTGAAAGAATCATGGACAATGTTGGTCCGAAAAAAATAAAAATTATGGACAATGGTAATTAATACCATTACTAAAGGGTTACTGTTGCATGGTCAACGGTGCGTTTTGATTAGACCTCACATCTCTCTCACTCTCTCTCTCTCTCTCTGACGTGGCACTCCCCTACCAGCATTCCAAGCGTCCACCAGCATTGCCTTTGCCGCGTTACAAACTACTGAGTTGGAAGTACGATTTTATCTTATAGAAGATTTTTAAATAATTTTTTTAAAAAAATTATTCTCTTCATTAAAATTTTTATATTTTTTAAGAAATTGAATGTATTTTTATATTTTTTAAGGTATAATTATTGTTCTTTTCAAAGGTACCCTTATTAATTATGACTTTATATTTATTATAGGGTGTTTTATAGAGATAAAATAAAAAATAGGAGTAGTTTAAAAGTACGTAGTTACTTTATGTGGAGTATGGAGATTTGATTAAAAATGTCTTCTATTTTTTTATAGAGGGAATAAAGTTTTATTAAATGCATCAAATTTAATATTATTATTTCTCCCTCTATAATTAATTTTTATCACTTCTCTTTTTTAATATATTAAATTATGGATATTTTTGTAAGTTATATTTTTTATTTTAAAAAATAAAATTTTTAAGTATATTTTAATAAAATTTATTAATAGATGAGATTTCATCTAAAGTGTTATGTCATTTTGGAATGGAGGAAGTATTTTTTAGCAAAAAATATATTAATATTATACTACTCCATTTCTAATTAATTTCTTCTTCTTATTTATTTGTAAAATTACACATTTTTTATGTCTACTCTTATTTAATAGTATGTTAGTTAAAAAACCTTATTAATTACACTCCCTACTCATATTAAGGGTATTTAAAAAAAAACCTCATTAATTATACTTTAAAAGTCTCACAATGCCTTATATTTAATATCACCTAAAAAATATTTTATATTTTTTTATAAAGGAGCAAACAATAATTCTCGAGAATCATAAATTGTTATTGTGTTTTTTTTGGGTAAAATTTTATTATTGTGTTTTACTTCCAAAGTTAACGAAGATAGGTTTTTTTTTTTTTTTGTAAATAGGACATGAATCAAAGTTAAAACCTGTTATATGTTGTCTTAACACAAAAAAATTAATTATCTACTCACTAATTACTGAAGAGGAAACTAACCATAGCTTTAAGTGAATGTAACAAAATAATGTAGAAAAAAAATACATATAAATTCGTTACAATAAAATTAATTAAATACTATAAAATCCATTGTAGAATTTAATTGTAATGCGAGGAAGCTCAGAATAATTATTTCAATAATGTATCAATGATAACCCGCAACAAGAAAAAAATGCATGCATGTAAGAAGAAGTGTTATTTTAAATATTTGTTAAAAGAGTTGCATCAACCTAATTAAAAAAGTTTGAATTTGAAAATGCAATCATGTAAAGTATTCAATTTAAATTAATCCGGGTCCCGTTTAATTTTTTAAGCCTGAACCAGCAGGTCCAAGTATCGAAGGCGACACTTAAAAATAAAAATTGCTAAAGGAAAACGTAAAATGCTGAATATGACGTGAAGTTATTATTGGAGACAATCATTATAACTTTCGTGCTTTCAAAAATAAATTAAGATAGGAATTTTCATAATTTAACATTTTTATCACGAAGAGGACAATCATTGTGAAGGATAAAAAGTAAAAGTCATCAAATTAGAACAGAGAATAAAAGATGTTGATGTTGGAATATTTTAACTTAAAGCACTTTCTAAATGATGTGACAATTTTTCATTTCGTAGTTCATTATAAGCTCGCCACATGTATAGCAACTAACATAGGCTAAAACTTCTCCCATTGAATGATGGGGTTCTAACATATATGCATAGATTTAAACTATAATTATGTCACAAGACAATAAAATTAAATTTTTATATAAGCTGAATATTTCAATTAATGTTTAACATCGGCCAAATGTTACTATAAAGAAAAACTGAACCCTTCCCCCTTTAGAAAAAGTTTTAAGTTTGAACTCAGCATTAACATGTTTATGTATATATAAATGTATGTCCTATTTTCATTTGAAGAAGAATTAGCATATGGTAAAATTTGGAAAAAAAAAAAGATTAAAAGGCAAATTCATCTTAGAAGTGTTTTGCCGGGCATAACTATTATTTTTAACTTTTCATTGGTGTAAAATTATTTAAGAAGTTTTAAAAATGATGTAATTTTTTCCTGCAGTAACTTTTAACCAATGCTGACCATTAATTGAAAAATTCTGACTCTAGTTAAAATGTAATTTTGCCCTTGAAGTTTTTTAAAGGACCAATTAGTATTATAAATTTTATATTAATGCAATATCTTTAGATCATCAGTATTTAAATTAGAAGAAAAATCTAACAAGTTGATATCAATGTTTAACAATGATTCATATTTCTGAACTTTGTTTAGATACCTTACTTGAAGCTATTTAGATGCAAAACTGACTTTATCTTTAAACACTCCATGTACTTTTGATTAAGCAGAGTCCAAATTTGCCTTTATTTTGGCCATAGACAAGTCTTAGCTTGCGCAAGCTTAACCATGACTAAATACAGACTTAGCTTGTTTGTACTTGCATGCTTTTGAGTAACACAAGTCCCTCTTGGTTGCTATAAATGATAGGAATTGTATGAATTGAAAAAAAAAAAAAACTAAATCACCATTACTCTTTATGTCAAGTATGATACAACTCAATATTATATGCCACAATTGTAAAAATCATCACCTTCCTCCAAAAACTTCATGAATAATGACTTTCAATTTCATGAATTAAATTATTATTCTTCCCTTATGAGCATAGTTTACCTATTATCTTTACAATTTGATCATTTTATTTTTATTTTTATTTTTTAATTCATTTCATTATTTTCTAGCAATCAAGCTGGACCATACACTAGCTCAAATTATGACTTAGTGTCATTTAGAATAATTCAACCCAAAATCTTTTAATGATTTTAGGTTATAACGATATTTTGGTCCTTCTAATTCAAAATTTGATAATTCAAAAAGGTTGCACCAATTGAAATTTAATATATTAATTATTTCTTTAGACAAATTTTTAAAACAAAATTATTCAATAACTCTCAAAATAACAATCAATATTAGTAAATTTAGAGTTGATAAAAATATGATTCAAATCTTCCAAGGACGTGGACTTAATTAATGAAATCCCATCTTAAGACCATTATTAACAAGTAATCTGTATGTATGTCACTAGGTTCGTCTTGAGTGACAAGCCTTTATACTAGATAAGTCTATTTAGATTCGGCTAGGGATGGATCTAGAACCGGCTTTATGGGGGGCCAAAAATGCAAAACTATATTATGGTGGGGCTTAAAATTAATTTTAACACTTTTAACACAAAAAAATCAAGTACATTTAAGTAATTTTTTGTAATTTGGGGGGCCCCCGTAAATCCGTCTCTGGATTCAACTTATTTAAACGCCAATAATATGTATCAACATATTGATTTCTTATGTGGCCGAATTGAATATCTTTTATTCATGTATTGTCTTTTTTTTCATGAAGTCTTTTGGAAGGCTCAAAAATTGTTGATAAATTTGAAGGAAAAAAAATTGTCATTGAAATGAATTGTGAGGTGATTTATCACATCTTATAGGCAAGCTATCTAAATCTTACGTTTGGCATTGTACTAAAATTTTACAAGATATTTTAGCTGATTATAAGTTAAATAAAAAAATTTCTTTTTTTTTAATGGCTCACTAAGGTAATGAAGCAGTTGATTGGTCAACAATAAATGGTGATGAGTTTTAGAAAGATATCTCCATCTAGATAGCTTCCAAAAGCAACATCTTCTTTATTTGTGTTTTTTTCTTTTTTTCTTTTTTTACTTGTTGATTTGCAGCCTGCTAGAGGTTCCGATAATAACTTTTTTGTATTGTTGGAATAGAGTTGGTATTGGCTAATTTGCTGCTTTTGTTTCATGATTGCTCGTTTTTAATTGTTTTGGTAAGCTCGTGTGTTAGATTGTACTGAGGTTTTTTTTTTTATAGCGTTTTGGCGAGTTTTGGATGTGTTAGTTTGTATTAAGTTTTTTTTAAGTGTTTTTTTTTTAACTTCAACTATTAGTGATTATAATGTTTTTTTAATGATTGATGAAATTGTCTCTTTTCTGGTAACAAAATGGAAAATGTTTTGAAAAAATCTATTTCATATTCCCAAATCCCAATCGTTCATGTGATGATTAAAATTAGTTAGGCCAAAAAAAAAAAATCTCATTCCTAACCCCATATATTCTTATAATTAACGAAACAAATTTTCCTGATAAACAATCAATAATAAAAATAAACATTAATTTTATGAGAGATAGTTTTAAAAAATATGATAGATATTTTTTAAAATTTGTATTTTTATCTATAAATAAAGACAAAGAACATCTAATAATTTGTCTTGTATTCAAAAACGTTTTTTCTTTTCTTTTCTTTTGTTTTTTTTTTTTTTGCCAACTTAGTCGGCACATTTTTACTAAATGATGTCTTAAACTTTTGTCTGTTTGGCTGAAACGAGAATGTCGGTCACGGTCAGTGACCATTTAAAGAAAAGCCACTCTAGTGACCCAAGGGGCAGAAACAGTACAGATACTCTTTAATTACAAGTTTGATGCATGGTTTTAATTTTAATTAACACAGCTCCCGTCTTTATCTTAACATCTATTCTAAAAAATTATTTGACATTTAATATAAGATATTTGATAATATATTAATTATATTTTTAAATATTATGTATATTTAATTTTATTAAATATGAGAAAAGATATAATGTAAATTTAAAAAATTTCATTTAAATATAAGTAAAATTAGAAGTAGAAGTTTATTACGTTTTTAAATAAAATTAATTTTTTAACCATCTCTTCTTAATTCCTTCGAGACGATTGGAGGAAGTATTAGCTTTAAGGGTTTGGGCCTAATATGCTTTTTTTTTTTTGGTGCCTTGTTGAGCCTAATATGTTAAAAC